TCAGCATTTATTTATTTATTTATCTTTGAGTTGGAGTCTCACTTGGTCGCCCAGACTGGAGTGCAGTTGCCGCTCCCGGCCACCACATCCTCGACCTGCTGGGCTCGGGCGATCCTTCTGCCTCAGCCTTCCAAGTAGCTGAAACTACAGGCGCGCGCTACCACGCCCGACTAACTTTTTGATTTATTGTAAAGATGAGGTATTACCAAGTTGCTCAGGCTGGTCTCGAACCCGCGGGTTCAGGCAATCTACTCACCTCGGCCTCCCAAAGTGCTGGGATTACAGGCTGAGCCACCGAGCCCGGCTAGTCATCAACATTTAAATAAATATATTTTTTAAGAGTCAACTTCCTCTTGTAGTTAAAGAATATTATTGGAGCCAGGCTCCATGGCTCAGCCTGTAATCCCGTACCCTTGGGAGGCTGAGGTGAGTGGATTGCCTGAGTCCGCGGGTTCGAGACCCGCCTGGGCAGTGAGACCTCATCTCTACAATAAATCAAAAATCAGCTGGACGTGGTAGCGCATGCCTGTAATTCCGGCTACTTGGAAGGCTGAGGTGGAAGGATCGCCGGAGCCCAGCAGGTGGAAGGATCTCCGGGAGCGGCCTCTGCACTCCAGTCTGGGCGACCGAGTGAGACTCCAACTCAAAAAAAAAAAAAAAAAAGAAAAAGAAAAGAATATTATTGGTAGAATTTCTTCTCTAGTATGATGCCTCATCAAGGAATACCAGAAGGAATGGGTCTTGAGGTAGAGGAAAGAAAACAAATCAGAGAACTCTGGGCTGTTTTGGAAAGATTTGGGATCCGGCATGTGTTATTTGGAGTGATTCACAAGGTTATTTCAGGACGCAATTGCTTTTGGTGTTGAAGGGTCTTAAAGGAGAAACTGGACTGGATTCAGTCTATCACATGGACTGTCATAACTGAAACCCCATAGAGCTGAGCCTTTTTTGCCCTTGTCTTGTAAGCTAGACCCTGTTGTAGTCAGGGAAACAACAATCTCAAAAGGATGAGTACATTTAAAATGAACAACCAGCCGGGCTCGGTGGCTCAGCCTGTAATCCCGCGCCTTTGGGAGGCTGAGGTGAGTGGATTGCCTGAGCCCGCGGTTCGAGACTCGCCTGGGCAACTTGGCAAGACCTCATCTCTACAATAAATCAAAAAATCAGCCGGGCTTGGTATCGCGCGCCTGTAGTTCCAGGAAGGCTGTGGCGGAAGGATCGCCGGAGCCCAGCAGGTCGAGGCTGCGGTGACCGGGAGCGGCCACTGCACTCCAGTCTGGGCGACCGAGTGAGACTCCAACTCAAAAAAATAAATAAATAAAAAATAAAATGAACAGCCAATTACCTCATCCCCATATATTTCATTCTTGATATCATCTATATGTAGCTGCTGCCCCAAAGACTTTTTCCTTCCTCTTCTGAAACTTTTCAAACTCTTCTCCATGCCCAATCAGGTAAGCTCTTTGTTTTTTTCCCCTTTCGTTATTGGTTCAGTCCTTTACTGTTCGTATCAGCTAACATTGCATTCATCTTTAAATCTTTCTATTTTTTTATTACCCAGATCCTTCAAAATAAAAAAGCACCTGAGAATTGTCATTACCAAAAAAAAACTCCCTGTCCCCCCGTTCCTGCAAAACCATAACATTTTCTTTTCTAGAAGTAAAAGCAAGGCTGGGCATGGTGGCTCATGCCTGTGATCCCAGCATTTTGGGAGGCTGAGGCAAGAGGACTGCCTGAGCCTGCAGGCTCAAGACCAGCCTGTGCAACATGGCGAGACCTTGTCTCTACAATAAATAAAAAAATTAGCTGGGTGTGGTGGTGTGCACCTTTAGTTCTAGCTACTTGGAAGGCTGAGGTGGAAGGATTGCCTGAGCCCAGCAGGTCAAGGCTGTGGTGAGCTGTGATTGTGCCACTGCACTTCAACCTGCATGACAGAATGAAAAAGAAGAAGAAGAAGAAGAAGAGGAGGAGGAGGAGGAGGAGGAGGGAGAAAAGACTGTAAATATTTATGTGTTAGTATTTTTTGAGGTTGTCACATAACCTTTGATAATCAATTACTTAGTGCAAGAGTAAAAAGGAGTCAGGCCACCTTATGTGGCAAGTATTATGTCTAAATAAAAACACTGAGGTGTTTCCTAGCAGCCTACTTAGCAGTTAATTCGAATTGTACTCCTGTGAGTGCAATCACTGAGCAATGATGCTGGGAATTGCGAAGCTTTCCTTCACAGAAACTTAAAAACCATGTCCACAAAAGTGCATTTTTACTTTGATGGCCCATGGAAACATCCAATGTAATTTCTAACATATTTATTCCTCCCCCGCCCCAGTTGACCTTCTCCCTCTTTGTTAAATATGACAATATTGTCTTCTTGGGGTCTTTGCGCTTGCTTCCTCCCTTCCAGGTCTCTGCTCAGAAGTTATACCTCTACCTAAGGGTACAACTCACAGGACATCATATAGTTTTTTTCCTGCTTTGTGTTCTGCATAACTCTTAGGACTGGGGACAGTCTTAGTTCAGGCTCTGTGTAAAACAAGAACCTGAAGAAAAGTTATGTGCTGATGCTTTATTGGGAGGTGCTATCTCAGGGAAAAAACAAATACAAGGTGAGAAGCTGGCCTCTGTTTATGTAGAAGACATCGCTGGTGACTCCGTTCCAATTCATCTGCTGTTGCCTTCTGATCTCTGTCTCTCATGGATCTACATTCATCCTTTAGGGTGTTAGCTTCCCTGTACTTCTTTGTTGTGCTACGTGGTCCCCTGGGGAAGCCACTCTGGCATGCGCACAGGAATTGCTGCAGCTCCTCAACCTGTGAGGAGTGAGGTGGTAAAGCTGGAACTTTAATACCAAGGCTACTGTGTATGATGGTGTTGGGTAACTCTTAGCATAGGCCTGGTAGGCAGGTGGAGTCAAGTGGATCTGTGCATAAACTGTGTCCAGAACCCTGATACTGTATATTCGCTTGTTATTCTCCCCATTAGGAAGCATGGAGAGTGCTTGCTTTGCCCATTGTTCACTGTATGCATAATTATAAGAACAGTGTCTGACATATACCAGGCACTCAATAAATCTCTGCTGAATGAACTTATTGAGTCCCTACTATGTGTCAGGAATTGTTACAGCTGCTGGAAGACATAGGCATTGCCACCATCTTATGGATGGAAAAAGCAAGAAGAGGGACTTTCTCAGTACTATTCAACATGGGAACAATTTCCAGATTTCCAGACTCTTGGCCTTAGGTCTACAAGAAACCATGTGTTTCAGTCTATCCTTTTATAAGGAAAGGGCTTTTTTAAGAAAAAGGCTAAGATGACTCCTTTTGTGAGCATTTGGTATCTCTGTGTTTAATTTTTTCTAATTTAGAAAATGAGCTTGGCACCATAGAATCTACCAAATAGATGCCCAGTAAAATAACACTACCTAGCTGTACAAATGTACTCAGGTGGCCATAGCAGAGCACCACAGCCTGGAGGGCTTCAATAACAGAAATTTATTTTCTCACAGTCCAACTTCAAGCTGTCAACAGGGTTGGTTTCTTTGAGGCATTTCACCTTTGCTTTTAGATGTCCATCTTCTCCCTGTTGATGAAGAGACCTACTACTACTAATTCATGATTGTTATAATGTTTGGTTGCTTAGGGCTACTGCCCTGCACGCACCCACATTCCTTAGAATTATAAGACTGTGTTGACCCTTCCTGGTACAGAATGAGTCACTGACCCCATGGCCGTATTCATATAGTTAGTAAAATAGATTGTTATTCATTTCTATGATCAATAGTTAAAGTTAGAAACATAATTAAGCCGGGCTCAGTAGCTCAGCCTGTAATCCCGCGCCTTTGGGAGGCTGAGGTGAGTGGATTGCCTGAGCCCACGGGTTCAAGACCCGCCTGGGCAGCGAGACCTCATCTCTACAATAAATCAAAAAATGAGCCGGGCGTGGTAGCGTGCACCTGTAGTTCCAGCTACTCCGAAGGCTGAGGCGGAAGGATTGCCGGAGCCCAGCAGGTCGAGGCTGCGGTGGCCAGGAGCGGCCACTGCACTCCAGTCTGGGTGACAGAGTGAGACTTCAACTCAAAAAAAAAAAAAGAAAGAAACATAATTATATTAATTTTATAACCATAACCAGTACACTCTTTTGTTTCGTTGTATCCATTGAATAATAATGTATCGTAGTGAATAATGTTTTACTTTATAGTAAGCTTTACTAATTCCTTTGCTTAAAGTTACTGATAAACAAAAATTATAGGTTCCTGGAAATGGGTTCCAAGAATATGTAGGTAATGAATGTTATAATTGTTGAAACACATCTATAACTGGAATCCTATGGAATGCTTTTTAAGTCATGCAGCTTGATGGTAATCAAGAGCAAAACTCAATACTTATGCTTATAAATACAGACTATAAAATCCAAGGAGTTGAGTTGGTCTTGGTATCTATACTGACTTGTCTCCCTGAATTCCAAATTCAGAAATAAACTTCTTTCTTCCTAGTTCCTTGTCTCTCGACTCTTATTGGTGGCATAAGAGAGCAGCTATGTGTTCCATGGGCCATTTCACTTAATTCACATGGTCTTTTCTATGTCTGCATCCTAATCTCCTCTTTTCATAAGGACATCAGTCATATTGGACTAGGGCCCAACCCCATGACCTTATTTTAACTTAATTACCTCTTTAAAGACCCTATCTGCAATCACACCATCACATTCTAAGATACAGGGGATTAAGATTTCAATGCATGAACTTGTGGGGTGGAGGTGGAGAGTAGAGGTGATACATTTAGGTCTGTTTTTAAAATCCTCAGGATATAAGTATCATAACCAGGCAGCAAATTACATCCCATTCTCTGTTGCCTCCTGCCTTATGTGGCTGCCTCTTCCTGCTCTTCTCCTTAGCCCCAGACTGAGAACAGCAAGGCAGTCAGAGCAGGTCACATAGAGATCCAGAAACCCAAGAAGAGGGTTTTGTATCAAGTAAATAAAAGAAATTATCATCCATCTAAGGTTCATTGTTTAAATTACCATGTTTATTTATATCAACACAAAATACAATAACACAACTTACAAAAAAACCGTTTTATCTTCATGTAACATAACTCTTCAGTGAACAGAAGTACTACTGTTAATGTTTTGACCTTTTCAAGGTCCTGCCTTGGGTCAAAACAGTATTCAGAGAAAGAGCAGATTCTTCTCTACCTTTCCTAAAACACACACAAAGCTAACTTCTACTTTCTAAAATCCCATTCCAGTAAGAACACAAAAATACCACAGTGAATCCATGTAGAGGAGGATGCTACTGTTGTAGTATCAGTATTGCAACCTGTATGTTACTGCACATTTTCCCCAAGTTCCAGGTATCAGGCAAAAACATTGGGGGTATGTCAGCCCTTTGAATTTTTAAGGTGATTGTTGAGTAATTCTTTTCATATAGCTATATACTCCCTAAATGTCTGATTTACCTGAGTTATTTAGAAACCAGCAAAAAACAGAACAAAAAAGTCTCCTAGTGATCAAATGTATACAGATCTATCTTGAAGAATTGAAGAAACTTATAGATTGTGCCAACAATTCAATGGGCAGTCATGAAACCTCCTCTACACAATGAACTATTCACCTAGTTAAAGGTTTCTCATTACGATTTAATCAAAGGTAATAAACATTGCACAAAAGTACAATACCTCATCTGTATTCCAGTACTTAAAATGCTATGTGTTTAGTCTCAGTACATTTTCAAAAACAAATGATAGCTATCACTTAACACAATCTTTCTGTTATTTTGCTGACAAAAGAGACAGTTTCCTGCAGTGGAAAGAGGAAATAGCTTGGAGTTAGAAGATCTAGACTGTGAACGCAGTTCTACTCACTTTCTGAGGCTTGGTTTCTTTATGAGGCTCAAATGAGATGAAAGTGCTTTGTAAAGGAGTGGTAGCCATAAGAAATAACATTCTACAGAGCCCTTCTCTCCCAGCAACTGCTGGACCCTTACTTTTGCACAGGTGCTTTGTGAGTAGACCCTTGCCTCTTAAAGTAAATATATGATGCATATCCACCACATGCAGTTGAAATGTGCAAGTTGGGTTATGCAGACAGGAAAAGAATATAGATTTTAAAAAACCTATAATTCACAAGGGACTTGTGTACTCCTGATGTGTTTGATTTAAAGCCATTTAAAATTTTATTCTGTATAACCCATGTCCTTTTATAGCACTGGAGCTTTCTTGGAAGAAACTATCTAATCATGAAAAGTAACTTAAAAAGAAATGAAAACTTTTGTATGACAGTTACAGTGCTTAGAAGACTGTGAAACTGAATAAAAGGGATTGAGAAATAGGGAAGAAATAATAGTTTAAAAACTCAGAGTCAAGAAGAAAACAGAGTGTAAATTATTTTTCAGGAAATTTTAAAATAGGTTAAGTGATAAAGTTATCTTTATTCTCTACAAGTGACATTTTAATTTATAAATTACTTCTTCCTCACCTGTAAAACAAATAAAATACTTGTTTGTGTACTTTTAGGTGCATACAAATTCACAGAAACTATTAACACAATTTTCAATCTTATGTTTGGGATATTTTTGGAAGATTGCATCCTTTTGGTTGAAGTAAAATCAGAATCTCATTTCTCATAGTTTTCAAAAACCCTTCTCTAGGAAAGGGCAGATTTACTACAAGTTTAAAATTAATTGACGAGTGTGGATATACAGTGTGAGCATATGGGCTTTGTGACTTTGCTGAGACAAAGACCTCAGGTAGCTGCATTCTTGAAACAAATGAGATTCTAATTTCAAACATTTTTCAAATGCAAATCAGGCCCCCATGAATCATTTTGATGATTTTTTGAGGCATTAATGCAACAGAGTTAGTATTCCTCAAATGATCCCCAAAGTCACCTTTTTGCTAAGGATATTCCTCTTCTTGATTATTTTGAACCTGCCAACATAGTCTCTCACCTTCACATAGAGAATGACTGATTTCCAAGTGACCTATTATTATCTTAAACCAACCTCATTTTGAAGCAACAAAGAAAGAAAAATTAAATAGTGCATTAACATTTCATATCAGTGAAACAGACTTTTTCCATGCATAAAATAGTTCTATCCATCTGTGGAAAGGTCCACCTTTTGTTTTTCCCTGTGCTTATAGGTTACATTTTTGAAAGTACTCGTGGAGCCTCTGTACAGTGGATTGGTTCCCTAAAAAAAAAAAAAAAAAGTTCCATTGAAAGTACATACATTTTGTTATTATACTGTTTTAATGTATAGTTCAAATTGGAAGAGGAGAGTTAAGCTCAATCTTGGAAGCCATTGTAATAATTTTGATATTTCATACTTTTAGTATTTTAAAATATACACATTTTCATTTTATTTTCTTACTCTTTTTTTGATAGAGACAGGGTCTTGCTCTGTCTCCAAGGCTGGAATGCAGGGGTGCAATCACAGCTCACTGCTAACCTTGAATTCTGGCCTCAAGTGGTTCTCCCACCTCAGCCTCCCAAAGTGCTGGGATTATAGGCATGAACCACTGTGACTGGTATCACTTTACCTTTTCACATGCAGAACCAGTCTCATATGTGTATTCTAAACATCTTATCCTTAATAGAAATGCACTAGTTCATGGATAGAAAACAAGACTTTGGTTGTTTTCCTCACTGCTATTTTCCCAGCACTGAAAAGAGTGCCTTGCTCAGAGTAGGTACTCAGTATTCATTGACTGAGTAGCATGAACACTGATAGGTGAACCAAAAGTGAAATGAAATTGAAAAAGTAAAAAATGAGAAGGGTGGAACTGGTAGAAACATATAAAAATGAATGACACAGTATCCACCTCTAAGAAACACATTGCTGATGAGAGGCATCAAACAAGGGCACAAATAATCATGCTAACATGAGATAAAAACTCAGAAGGAGGAGCACATAGCCACTTGGGAGACAGGGAACGATCCCCTAGATAGCTGACACTTGCCCTGGATAGCAAAGGAACCAGTCGGGTTTTGCCTACTATATAAAATGGTGAGTAAAACAAAATAGTAAGAGACTGGTGTGGAGGACCCAGGGGGTCATGAAAGAGTGGTAGTCCCAAGGCAGGTCCAGCAAAATGGCTTTACCTTTTGGGCAGTTGGGAGGTTGTGTGTGCTGATGCCTGGATAGCTCAGCTGTGCTCTCTGAGCTGTAGATGGGCTTCCAGGTGCCAACAGCAGTGGTGCCATGACCAGAAGGATCGGAAGGACTTAGTTTTTCTAGGCAGGAAAGCAAGTGGTCAGTTTCTTCTCTCCCACTTTCCAAGGTTGGCCACACAGGCTTTGGCATCAGGCAGCCTGGGTTCAAACCCAGCTCCACCACGTGACCTTGCTGGAGCAACTCTGAGCTTTGGTGTCCTCATCTATAAAAGCGGGAGTATAAAAGTGCTCACCTTATCCATGAGGTGAAGTACTTTAGCACTGTGCCTGGCACATAACAAACGCTCAATAAATGCTGCCTTCTTATTAGTTTGTATTTACAATTTTTCTTCACATTTGGAATTTCCTTTTCTTTTAGGTATTGAAAAGGGTTATAAAGACATTTCTTTCTAGACTTTGGAACTCATAATATTTCTAAGCCTGTTATTAAGTATGTATGGAATGCAGGTACCACTTCTGACACTCTGTTACAAAATCTCATACTTTAATGTCCTTATCCCAGAAACTGTAGATATGGTAGCAACTTCTAAGTGTTGATTTGGAAGAAGCATGATTGTATTTGCTTTCTAAGTACATTTCTTTTAGCTCTCAGAAGAACTGAATGAAATGGAAAACATTTACCAGGCCTCTGTCACTTATTGGCAGCAGCACCCTCATTGTAAGCAGGAATCACACCTGTACCCTTTTTATGCTGCCCATAACCCGTGACCTGACCTCTGACTGACTGACATGATACCTTTGTTCAAGTGCCTTTGAAGAGAGATGCTATCTCTGTAATGAGGGCAAATAGAAAAGAGCTTCCCTGGCTGGGGGTGGATGATGGGTGAAGGTCATGTTGCTGTATTGCTTCTATTCTGAGGAACCTCCAGTTCTCATTTAGTCCTGCTGCCATAAAAATTGGGAATTTGAGGGCAAAGGGCGGACTGATGTGATCTTAGATGTAGGTGGTTTCATTTGCAAACAAAAATCATGTATGGAATTCTATCAAGTGACTAGAAGTTAGGTGGTTACAGGAGCATAAGGGACTCAATTGAAGAAGCAAGAATGGAAGAAAGAAGTGTGGCTGGTGATGACGGATGGAGACTATCTGGAGAAAGAGGTAATCTTTGTGAACAGAAAAGATTCTAGGGCAACCCCTTTGGGTCCCCTCCCACTGTGGGAGTTTTTCTGTCCTCTCAATAAATCCTGCTTTCTAAAAAAAAAAAAAAGGAAAAGACTCGAAAGTGGGAAAAGACTCTGAAAGTGGGAAAAGACTCTGAAAGTGGAAATGGGCTGTGAATTTGTAGAACCAGGCACTTATTTGTAGGCCCTACCGTATCATGGCAAAAATATTCAAATACACCCACATCCCATGCTTAATACAATTGATATGCACCATGAAGGAGGTAACGAGTTGTAATTTACAGAGTAAATACAATGTTATTTTGGTGAATGCTTAATTTTGATGGCACAGTTTTCATTCTGCATTTTAAAGCAACTTCATTTATTTGGGTCTGCAATATTTTGGGAGTTCCTTGCAAAGCTGGTGAGGAGGCCAAAACACTGCTGATAGGGAGTGTTAGAGAAAGCAGGCGCCACCACAGAAGGAGGGTGAGGAGGCCATGTAAAAATGGAGGAAGAACAAGTACATGTTGCTGAGGGTGCAAGTGTGTGGTCTCACCTGGCCTCAGCGCGTGGTCAGAGATGCTCAGGAGAATGCACTCAAATCAGGTTTTGTTGACAGGAGGACATGTGGAAATGTCTCTGCTGCCTCATCTAGTGCCATGCAGATTGGCAACCTCACTACATGGGATCTCCAGCTGAAATGTACGCAAGCTTGCGACCCGCTCCATTTCTGGTGAGTCTACCCTCCACTCTTTAGACAAGATCGATTTTTCCCTATCTGGGGTGACCAGGCTAATTCCCCCAGGAGTCTGGGAGTGCTAATTTGGGCAGTGGATACTGCAAATGCAATGGTGCATTTTTCAAGCTTGAAAAAGTGGTAATAGGAAAACTCTCTGTCATGACCCACAGTTTCCTTAATGATCACCTAACTGCCAAACGTAGACCTGATTTGCTTTGCATGGTACAAAATCAATCCATGACTGCAAGAAATGTCAGGCTGAACATTTTTTTGCCTCAAGTTAATGATTTGTCATCCTAGAAAAAATGTCTAATCAAAGATGAATTTAAGTATCTTCCATCTGTATTTTCCTAAAGATTATGTGGGGGAGGGAGATAATTTTAAAATATAATAAAAAGGTAACCTTTCTTTACAGCTATGATGAAATGTTTCCCAGGGGGCAAGTGTGGAGATCTTTCCATCCTAAGCTCTGTCTCTTTAAGAGTTCAATAGGGTCCTATGGATCAGGAGACCTGACTGTCCCTATCGTCCCTGGGGGTCCCTTGGGGTCCCAAGTCAAATTCACCTCTTGAAGAAGAAACAGGTGTCTGAGAAAAATTCATGTAAATTGAAGACCTCTAAATGTATGCACTGAGCAACATTTTTTTCCCAGCAGAATATATTAGTGAAATTTGAACGGAATTATTTGAATTAAATTTTTTGGCATCCAAGTGAATAATTATTATTCAGTCATTATCTAGTCAGGAACATCAAACATTTGTTACTCAAAGAAACTCAATTTAACATGAAAATATATTTTTCATTTATGCTTTTATCTATTTAATGCATGTTTTTGTACCATTTTAAATGAACAAACAGGAAAAATTTGGTATTTAAATTTCAGTCATGTTCTACATCCTGAGGGAGAACAATTCATGTTTTGGGGAAAATTAACTGTTAATTAAAACGTTATTTTAAAGATATTAATCATTTGTCAGTACTCATGCCTTTGTATGAGAACATTAAAATATGCTGGTTAGTAGATACACATCTCATAATTGCCCAAGTGCTTGTTTGTGGAACACCTGCTTATTATTTCTAGGAGGGTCAACCGAAGGCTGTGCCTAGAACAATTAACAGGTTTCAGCTCCACCAAGCACCAAAAATTTGGGAAGTCCCTTAACCTCTCTGAGTCTCACTTTATTTACCTTCAAAATGGGGCTGGTGTTTGTTCAACTAATTGCTGCCATTGCTCTCTGTGCCAGCCTAACCACATTCTTTTGCCCGATTGCCAGGCATTGCCTGACAGTCGGTGAAAGTTAAAAATAACATCTGTGGGCCGGTTTCAGTGGCTCAGCCTGGTAATCCCAGCACTTTGGGAGGCCGAGGTGAGTGAATTGCCTGAGCCCGTGGGTTAGAGACCCGCCTGGGCAACTTGGCGAGACCTCATCTCTACAATAAATAAAAAAATTAGCTGGGCATGATAGCATGCCTGTAGTTCCAGCTACTTGGAAGGCTGAGGCGGAAGGATCGCCGGAGCCCAGCAGGTCGAGGCTGCAGTGGCCGGGAGCGGCCACTGCACTCCAGTCTGGACGACAGAGTGAGACTCCAACTCAAAAAATAATAATAATAATAATAACATCTGTGGCGTAGGATCAGATGAAGTTAACTATCCCACAACTTTGGCCTTATTAGCACTATTCTGTCAACCAGGTAACTGGTTTGTTTACATTTTACATTGTTAGGGATAGATAAATTATATTCTCTTCTGAAGAACTTTGTATAATTATGAAAAATCTATACATACACAAAAAGAGAAAGCTGTATAGCAAACCTCCATAGACCCATCACTCAGATTTAACAATGGTCAAGATTTTGCCACACCTGTTTCAACTGTACTTCCATCCCACTCTGTCTTCTGGCTGAATTATTTCAGAGCAAACCCCAGCCTTCATTTCCTTTCACTCCTTCAGTATTTATCTCTAAAAAATAGAGATATTTTCTAGCAAAGTCATTGTGTCATTATTATGCATAATCAAATTAACCATACTTCCCATCTACCATTCTAATACCCAGTGTTTATTAATATTTCCCCATTGTTTTAAAAATTACTTTTACAGTTGGATTGCTCAAATCAGAATCCCAACAAGATCCATACATTTAATTTGACTGTTGTGTCTAAAAGCATTTTTAATGGGAAGATAAAGTAGACGAAAATTTTCATTGTCCATTGTCCTGCACCTTATATTCTGTTTAGTTTGGGATAACTGCATAAAAGATAAACATTCCTTATCATGATAAATTTATCAAAGACAGAACATTCTATTTGCCTTATGAAGTTATTGCTATAAAAAAGTGTTAACATCTATTTATTTGGGCAGATAAATCCAAAGGAGCATTGTGTTTGCCTGTATTTTCTCCAGTAATATCACTGTTTTTAGAACCAGCAATGTAAGATAATTGCTATTAGATAGCTGGACACACCATTAGAGATAGAAAGATGAAATTAAAACCATGAAATTGTTTCTATGGGTCTCTAGAAATGTAATTATCTCTCTTGTGGAAAAGAAACAGAGAAAGCTGTAGTCCTGTTTTCTGTTTGCCTCCTGTGAAGAGAAGACACTTAAATTATATCTATTGAGTCCATATAGTTAAAGGTTGATACTTTTTTTCCCAGGAAGCTGTTAAAAATTTATGTTCTTCAGACAAACTAAACATGGAATTTAAAAAGTCATCTCAACTTTGCTTTGCAACCTATTATATCAGTAACAAGCATTTCTGAAGAAATTGACATGAACTGCCATACTATTAATGAACATTATTCCATTAGTTATGACATAACCAATTTATGAAACTGTTTAGATACAGCACCTGTGCTTTATCAAATGGGGCCTGAGTGATACTCCTCGTGGAGATAATGAATAAAATATGCTTCCTTGATGTCCCTCAGTAGCTAAGAGGACCCCCCCAAAAAAACCGGAATTATATTTTGCTCCTGTGTAGTACTTGTTTCTCCAAATCAAACTATCAACCAAAGTTTTTATCTGGAAGTTTTGAGAAGATTGTACCACAATTTGCAGAAGAAACTTCCCAAGTTGTGGTAAACAGGTGATTGGTTCTTCTTCTACGACAACACACCTGTCCACATTGTGCTGAGTGTTCAGCAGTTTTTTTGTTTTTTTATCAAAAATGGCATGACCCCTGTGCCCCATCCTTCCTATTCACCTGATCTCGTCCTGAGCAACTTATTTTTTTGTTTGTTTTCCTCAGATTAAAAAAAGTCCTCAAAGGGAAACGTTTTGCTGATGTGGAAGAGGTGAAACAAAAAATGGCAGAAGCACTAAAGGGCATAAAAATGGACACATTAAAAAACTGCTTTGAGCAGTGTATTCCATCAAATGGAGAGTACTTTGAAGGTGACTGAAGTTTAAACATGTGAAAATAAATACACATTTATTTTTTAATAAATAAATTCTGGGGTTTTTTTTAGTCCCCCCTCCCCTATATAAGGCGTTTCATGAGATATGTTGATGTGATGAAAAACCTCACTGCACTGAGAGCCATCTGGGTTTAGATAATGGACAGTGGTTCCTTTGCTCATTAAACAGAACAGGAATAATGTTGAGAGTGGTAGAGAAAGAACATGACTTTTGAACTCTCTTCTAAAGCAAAAGAAAGCTGAGACTCCAATCTCTTACACCAGGCACTTTCTCCTCTAGACAAGGAATAGCCCTAAGTTTTCTCATACCGTTTGCCACTTGGCTTTTGATCGTTCTGCTTCAAATTTGGCAACTTCTTTACGATCGTGAAATGACACCAACAACTTCCAGATGCACAGGAGGACAACCCCGATGAGAAGAATAGCCAGAGAAACCCCCAACATGATCATGGGAATGTTTGGAGGTTTTGGACAATCTGTAGAAACAAAGAAGACTATGATTTAAAAGTGGCACAATTAACATTTTAACATGAGAAAGACATTTCTCACTGAATTTTCCATCTACACTTTTCCTGCAGGAGAGAGTAAATATTGACACCTTTTTGCCTGACTGAAATTTTAAAAAATGAGTTACCTGTTGTAAGATAGCTCTACATTCCTTCAAAGTAGAACAAAAGATAAAGGAAGAGTGTAGTTATTCAAAGTAAGTGGATATACACTTGATGGCTGAGTAAAAAGTGTTAGACTTCACGAGTGACAATTGTTGCACATGGAATATTTAAAGAACCCAGAAGAAGACTAGTTTAATCACTAAACATACTCTCGTATGAGTACATGATAGAGTAGAAATGGAATGTGTGTGGGGGTGCATGTAATTACTTTTTCCTGGATTTCTTGAATCATGAGTCGTCTAGGAGATTATATTTAAAATTACATAAAACCTATTCCCTGAAAAGATTACTATTTGCTGCTTTGTTTTTTTTAATATATAGAAAGAAGATAATGATGGTTTTCAGTTTTATTTTGTTAAACCCATTACAGTGCTCTGGTTTACCGGAAAATTCTTAGACTAGAATTAGGAGAGGTGGATTCAATTCCCACTGAGGTGCAGTAGCCGTTTGAATTCAGTCAAGTACCTTGATCTCTCTGAGTCCCAGGATCCTCATCTGTGAAACAAAGTTCACTAAACTTTCCTGATGACAACAATAAGCCAAGGTGCTCATGCCTATTAAACGGCACTTCCCTAAGATTCTGATTCAATGGGTCTTGAATAAGGCCACATTTTTTTTTTTTTAAGTTGGAGTCTCACTCTGTTGCCCAGGCTGGAGTGCAGTGGCAC